AAGCAAGTTCCCATTGTGACTAACAAGCTTAATCTTGTGGGGAAACTCTGGGAAACAATGCAAAACACACACCTCAGAGTTATCCTACCCAGAGGGTGAGAGAACAGGTCATTAGTTTCGGACTGATCCCACAGGGTGTTAATTCCTTGGTACTTTTGGCCTTCTGGGAACACTGGAAGGGAGGCTTTTTGCAGTTTTAGAAAAGAGTTCTCAGGCACAGTGACGCAGATAACAACAGCTAGAAGTTCAGTCCATTGTAAGGATACCAACAGTGCGTGTCACACCCTCCAAGGTGAAAAGTCTAGGGAAGACTGTCTTAGCTAATATGGTGGCTGTGCCTCAAATATCTTCAGGGATTCAGGCTTCACACAGCTTTGCCATCACTAGAATTAATTCATTTTCATCAGAGTCCATGGTGGCAGCTAGAGCTCCAGCCTTCACATGTACATTCTAGGCAGAAAGAGGAAGAGATGAAAAATAAGAGGTGAAGAGCCCACGTTAGTTGTCTTTTAAGAAAGGATTTTGGAAGATGCTACACCGCGCTTCCACTTACAACCCATTGATCATAACTTAATCACACTACCATACTTTGCTGCAAGAGTAGGAAATGTAATCTTCATTCTAGGGAATTGTGTCCCTGAGAAAATTCTATTTCTCTAGCAGTAGGGGGAACATGGATAAGATATGGGGACAACCAACAGTCTTTGCCAACCTCAGAAAGGGAAAGCATGCAAATAGAATGAAAACTGAAAGAGCCTTATAGTAGAACCTATTGTGATGAGGACAGATCCATGACAAAATTGAGGGCCCATGTAGGGGAACGAGGAGAGGCAGTTTTACAAATCACAAGGGGAAACAAGTGCTTTTTCTATATTTAAACTCAAAGCTACAACTAGAGAAAATATAAGCAAGTTAATAATGTCTTAGAAAGGGCATCTTACCTATGCCTTCTTTGACATCTTCCGGGGAGGAGTGCATGCAGTTTTCCTATAAAATTGGTGTCCCAGAATCTATCCTCATATTTATTTAATTAATAGAATTTCATTTTAGAGAAGTTTTATGTTTACAGAAGACTGAGTATAGAGTTCATATATACTCCCTCATCCAGCCCCCCCATCCCCTGTTATTAATATGTTGTCTCAGTGGGGTACATATGTTACCTTTGAAGACCCAATAGTGATACATTATTATTAACCAAAGTCAATAGTTTACATGAGGTTTCACTCTTTGTGTGATACTTTCTATGAGTTTTGAAGTGTTTATCTGTTCAGTTCAGTTCAGTCACTCAGTCGTGTCCGACTCCCTGTGACCCCATGAACCGCAGCATGCCAGGCCTCCCTGTCCATCACCAACTCCCGGAGTTTACCCAAATTCATGTCCATTGAGTCGGTGATGCCATCCAACCATCTCATCCTCTGTCATCCCCTTCTCCTCCTGCCCTCAACCTTTCCCAACATCAGGGTCTTTTGAAATGAGTCAGCCCTTCGCATCAGGTGGCCAAAGTATTGGAATTTCAGCTTCAACATCAGTCCTTCCAATAAACACCCAGGACTGATCTCCTTTAGGATGGACTGGTTGGATCTCCTTGCAGTCCAAGGGATTCTCAAGAGTCTTCTCCAACACCACAGTTAAAAAGCATCAATTCTTCAGCGCTCAGCTTTCTTTATAGTCCAACTCTCACATCCATACATGACTACTGGAAAAACCATAGCCTTGACTAGACGGACCTTTGTTGACAAAGTAATGTCTCTGCTTTTTAATATGCTGTCTAGGTTGGTCATAACTTTCCTTCCAAGGAGTAAGTGTCTTTTAGTATCATGGCTGCAATCACCATCTGCAGTGATTTTGGAGCCCCCCAAAATAAAGTCAGCCACTGTTTCCACTGTTTCCCCATCTATTTGCCATGAAGTGATGGGATTGGATGCCATGATCTTAGTTTTCTGAATGTTGAGCTTTAAGCCAAACTTTTCATTCTCCTCTTTCACTTTCATCAAGAGTTTACAGTGATATGTATTCACCATTAAGAGTATCATACAGAATAGTTTCTTTCACTGCCCTAAAATCCACTATGTTCCCCTCCTCATCCCTCCCTTGTTCCCCACCAAACCCCTGACCTCTTTACTGTCTCTATAGTTTTACCATTTCTACAATGTCACATTGTTGGAATACAGTATGTAGTCTTTTTAGATCAACTTCTTTCATTTAGCAGTATGCATTTAAGTTTCTACCATGTCTTGATAGCTCATTTCTTTTTATCACTGAGCAATAGTCCATTATATGGATGGAAGAATGGAACCTATTAAAGGATATTTTGGTGGCTGCCAAGTTTTGGCAATTATAAATAAAGCTGCTACAGACCTCTGTGCAGATTTTTGTTTGGACATAAGTTTGCAACTCATTTGGGTAAGTACCAAGGAGTGCAGTTGCTGGATTGTATGGTAAGACTATACTTGTTTTGTAAGAAACAGACAAATGTCATCTAAAGTGGCTGTACTATTTTACATTCCCACCAGCAATGAGTCAGAGTTCCCATGCTCCACAGCCTTGCCAGCATTTGGTGGTGTCAGTATTCTGGATTTTAACCATTCTGATAGGAGTGTAGTGGTATTGCATTCAGTTATTTTCATTTGCATTTCTCTAATGACATATGATGTTAAGCATCTTTCATATGCTTATTTTCCATCTGGTTATCTTCTTCTTGAGGTGCCTGTTTAGGTCTTTTGCCCACTTTTTAAATTGGGTTGTTTGTTTCCTTATTGTTGAATTTTTAAAGAATTCTTTTTACATTTTGGCTATCAGTCCCTTTATCAGATACATGTTTTGCAAATATTTTCTCCCAGACTGGAGCTTTTCATTTTCTTTAAATGTTTTAGAGCAGAGTTTTAATTTTAATAAATTCCAATTTATCAGTTTTTTTCTTTCATGGAGAATACTTTTGGTGCTGTGCCTGCCCCTATGTTTTAATCAGTCTTTGCTGTGACCAAAGGGATAAATCAGAGTGTAGGCTAATGGGGTTCAGAGGGCAGTGTAAATGGAAAGAGTAAGTGGACAGGAATTGATCCCTTGATCTTGTCCATTTAGATTTTGCCTTTTGAGATCATGTCTCAGTCATATATTTCTATAATAAGGCCACATAATAAAACAACCCCAGAACTCAAAGGCTTAGAATAATAAGTGTTTATTTCTCTCTCACATGTCCATAGGACAGCTGGGTTTCAGTTGATCAAGGCTGTGCTCAGCTGGGTTTAAATCCAAGCTGCAGGTTGGGTCCAGATCTTTTCCACATGTTGCTCATCTTCATTGGACTTTGTTCATTTCAGGTCAAAAGGCTGGAGGGCAAGCCTCGCCACACAAGCACATTTCTAGCCTTTGCTTAATCATATCTGCTAATATCCCATTGGCTAAAACAAGTCCATGGCCAAACTCAACATCAGTGGGGCAGGGAGGGATGTAAACTCCTCTTACGGATTATCAAACAGCAATCTAATATGCCACCAATCATGTTTGCAAATTCCTATCACAGGACCCTGGGCACTGCTTTCAGAGACCCAAAGACAAGTTCCCAAACCAGGAACTTGTGATGGCTTGGAACTTGTCATCCAACAAGTGATGGCTTGCTGGACCATGGGAAATGCAGGGGCTATAGGCAGCCCCCAGCCCTGGGGGAGATCCAGACCAACCAACTTGCATAAAAACATGGCTTGGCTGGAGAGTCATTGTCCCAGATCATGTAAAGTTATTCCTGTCATCCTGGCACATGCAGCTCCTTGGAGACAAAAACCCATCCAGTGTGACAGGTGAATAATAGTCCCCCTCCAAAAAAAAAAAATAAAAGATGTCACTTCCTAATTCCTGGAATTTACAAAGATGTTATCTGGTAATCACTTTACAAATGTGATTAAGGAACTGAAGATGGGAAAATTAGCCTGCATTATCCAGGTGAAAGTGAAAGTTGCTCAGTTGTGTCTGACTCTTAATACAGACCCCATGGACTATATAGTCCATGGAATTCTCCATGCCAGAAAACTGGAGTGGGTAGCCATTCCCTTCTCCAGGGATCGAACCCAGGTCTCCCAAATTGCAGGCGGATTCTTTACCAGCTGAGCCACAAGAGAAGCCCAAGAATACTGATGTGGTTAGCCTATCCCTTCTCCAGCAGATCTTCCCAACCCAGGGATTGTGCCGGGGTCTCCTTCATTGCAGGCGGATTTTTTACCAGCTGAGCTATCAGCGAAGCTTATCCAGGTGAGTCTAGTGTGACTACAGGGGTTCTGACAAGTAACACAGGGAGGCCTCAGAGTCAGAGTCAGAGAAGAAGATGTGATGATGGAAACAGAATTCGGAGTGATGAGCAGAAGGGAACCAGGAATGTGGGCAGCTTCTAGAAGCTGGAAAAGCAAAGGAATGATTCTCCCCTGGAGCCTCCAGAAAGCACCCAGCCCTGCCAACCCATCTCAGACTCTGACCTCTGGAACTGTATGTTTGTTTTGTTTCAAGCCACCAAGTTTGTGCTAATTCGTTACAGAAGCCATAGGCAAGTAATACAGCCAGCAAGTATTCGGGGGCAGTTAGAAAACTGGGAGCATTGAACCCCACTTCTCTTCACCAGTCCTTCCCCCTTTGACTTGTCATCCACCAAAAGGCAAATGTTCCAAAACTGGCAAGACAAGAAAAGCTAACCTATTAGTAAAACCTTTAGCAGTCAGATCTTTTATTTAAATATTTATTTAATCATTTTTAAAGTTTTCTATCCAAACTGCAGCAGTAACTAGAATCCAGCTGTCTCAGGCAATAGAAATGTCAACTGGAGGTGTCCTGAGAATCGCAGATTGTGGATCTCCAGAGTCAAAAACAGAGTGTCCAGTCCGACCCACCCACTTGGCAGATGAGGAATTATGGCTGGAGGGAGGGTGGGTGTCTGAGAATAGGAAGGGTGAGCGGGCACCAGGAGCCACCACGCAGGCATGGCCTCAGCGCCTGGCCCCGCCTGGCCGCCCCCATCACGGCTGCTGTTGGTACTGGCTCTCAGTGGCCGTGTAGAAGTCATCCAGCACACTCTGGATGTATTCAAAGGTGGGCCGTTCCTCGGGTCGGTTCTTCCAGCAGCGAGTCATGATGTTGTAGAGCTCTTCCGGGCAGTTGTCTGGTCGAGGCATCCGGTACCCACGCTCCAGTGCACGGATCACCTCGGGGTTTGACATCCCTGAGAAGGAGCCACGGAATTAAAAGGGGAGGGATTGGGGTCGGCCTGGCAGATAGTCATTGCCTCCCCAACAACCTTCCCTCCCCACCTCCTCATAGGAGCCGAGCCCCTCCCATGATGCAAGCCAGGCATCCCTTCCCCCACTTCCCCTGCAGTGAGGGCAGGGGCAGGGTGCTCAGTTTTGGCCACACCCTTCCTCCTTCCTTTGGACACTGTGACACAGCGTGGTCTGTGGAGCTGCAGCAGCCATCTGACCACATGGGGAAGACAATCACAGAGGAAGCAACCCAGAGACCTGAGAGTCATTGAGCAGCTGAACTGACCTGTCTCCAGTGCCAGACTCCTTGGTCTGGGTTGTAACAATTTACCTTTTGTTTCCACCACTCAGTCTGTTAATTTGTTACTTGCCGCCTACAGGGTTCCATACTCTCTCTCCCCCGCCTGGTTTTTATTGGTGAAGCCTCAAGATAAAACAAGTCGGTAGCGGACTCAGTATCACCCCATGAGTGGGAACATTTCTTTGCTCAATTAAAGTTTATGTTAGTTATCTTCAAGAACAACCATTTAAACATCTATGATCCCCAATTTTATATTATAAGTCTTTCTTAAAAAAATTACTTGGCCATACTGTATGGCATGTGGGACCTTAGTTCTCTAGCCAGGGATTGAATCCTTGTCCCCTGTATTGGAAGTGGTAGTCTTAATCACCAGGCCACCAGGGAAGTCCTATATTACCAGTCTTGAACTCCAAACGTGTTCATATATGCAAGTGCTTCCTTGAACATCTTGGATAAGCCACCTCAAATTTGACAGGGATAAAACAGAACTCTTGAATTTTTATTCCTAGACCATCAGGCATCCATTTGCTCAATCAAAACCAAGAGACTTATCCTTCATTCTTCTCTCTCCCTGACCTTCCACATCAGCAAGTCACAGCCTTTCTTCTTTTAAAACACAGCGCCAGCTCACCAACTTATCAGTTACCACCATCACCACTGTCTGTGCCACAGCTGCAGTGCCCACCATCTCCCCAGCCCTGATCCACTCTTCACACTAAACCAAAGCATCACTTGCACGTGGAAATCAGACGATGCCACTTCCCTGCCTATAATGCTCCAGTAGCTTCCTTACACATAGACTAACACCCATGGTCTTCACCATGACCATGGATCCTGCCTGACTGGGCCCCTGCCACCCCCGCTTCACATAACATCTGCTCTCATTTCTTGTCTCCATCTACCTTGCTTGTTTGATATTCTTCAGATACAACTCAGGCCCTAAGAGCTGGCAGTGCCTTCTATCTGGAATCCTTTCCCCAATCTTCACTCCGCTAGCTTTCAGCTCAGATATGACCTGCTCTGACAGTGCTCCTTGTCACAGGAGCCCTAGGTCACTCTGTCTCCTATGGCCCTGCTTCATTTTCCGTTCCAAGTGATCTCCACTGAGAAGTGCATCTATTTAGTGTGTGTGCCTTCAGGCTGTAATGTGAGCTCCTGCCAAACAAGGGCTTTGTCTCCTACGGTACACTCCAGCACACAGTAGGAATTTGATACATACCGATGAGTGACCCGAGTGTCTGCACCTTTTATTTCTAATTTTCAGAACCACTTCTGCAAGGTGGTTGATTTCATATTTTTTACAGATGAAGAACTGGGGTAGAAGTCAAGTGAATTTCTCAAAGTGTTGATGGGAACAGGATTAAAGTTCAGGACTATTTACTTATAAAATCAGAATTCTCTTTATATCCACCTTGCCTCCTGCCCCAGGGTTCTGGCTACAGATCCCTAAGAAACATCCCAACTGAAAAGGAACAGAGAAAAAGTTTATTTACTGAGTCCCAGGCACTCTACATGTCAGATATATCTTTGTATACCCCATAGTCTACTCACTATGAAGTACTGCCCACAGGCATGGGGATAAATTCATCCATTTGACAAATAGTTACTAGGCACCCACTACATGCCAAGCACAAAGGTAGGCAGTCCAGATGTACCAGTAAGGAATACAGACATGATTTCTGGCCTCACAGAGCCCAGAGTTTGATGGAGAAAATATCAAACAAATACAGTTATCAACAGTGATGAATGCTGTGAATGAAACAGCATAGGGTATTGCAAACGAGAAGCACAGGGAAGTGTATAGTACTTTAGATGACTGGGTGGTGAGGTATAGCATGACATGAAGGGAGAGGGAAGAAGTAGGCAGGGGCTGGATCATGCCGGACCTGCAGGCCACAGTTAGGAGTTTGGGATTTTTGTCCCAATTATGCTGGGAGGCCTTTAAAAAGTTAGAGGTGGAGAAGGGAAAAGTTCTGATCCACAATTTTAGAAAAATCCCTCTGGCCTCAGGGGAAGAATGGCCTGTAGGAGAGAGGGCAGACTGCTTAGGAGGCCACTGTACCAGTGAGATGACGGAGGACGTTGGTCTGGTGTGGGTAGAGGCTGTGGAGTTAGAAGTGGACAGACTTGGGATGCTCTGGAGTCCAATAGCTAGAACCCTGTGACTCTTTGAACATGGAAAGGGATGAGAGAAGAGAAGGGCCAAGCAGGCTTCCAGATTCCAGGCTTAAGAAACTGGATAGATAATGGTGTTATTAACTGAGAAGCTGGGGGTGAAGGTCAAGAACTCAGTGAGGGCAACCAACTCAGGCTGGTGGCTGCCAAGGGGAAGGCAGTTGGGGGAAGGATGGGGTGGAGCAGACATAAACTTTTATGTAGAGAATGGATAAACAATAAGGTCATACTTTATAGTACAGAGAACTATCTTCAATATCCTATGATAAACTGTAATGGGAAAGAATTTATATTAATATGTGTGTGTGTGTGTATATATATATATATATATATATATATCTGAATCACTTTGCTAACAAACAAACAAAAACTTAGTCTGAACAGACACAATGACAAGAGAAGGGAGCCAGGCTGCCCTGGAAGCAGCCCCAAGGTGACGCCCTCTCTCTTACCTGGGTAAGGGATCCGGCCATAGGTGACGATCTCCATCAGCAGGACACCAAAGGACCAGACGTCTGACTTGATGGTGAAGGAGCCAAAGTTGATGGCTTCAGGAGCTGTCCACTTGATGGGGAACTTGGCCCCTGTGGTTTGAACAGAGCAAAGTCAAGGAGAGTCTGGGGAGCAGTCAGAGCTGGGTCTCAGCTAGGGGGAGGGAACAGGACATCAGTACAGCTGCCAACATCTGTCCCCTGCAGGACTGTGACTTTCCTCAATCTGGCCCCCGTGGAAGCACGGAGCATCCATTTTGAGGACCAGTGGCTAAAGTAGGGAGGAGTGGGCCAAGGTACCTGGGGTGTGGCAGGGGACTCGCCCTCTTGGGGCCACCTCATTGATTCAGCTGATGTACTGGTGAACTACAACTCCTGAAGAGTGGAGTCCTAGAGATCACAGGATCTTTGGGGATGGCAGAACTTCAAGGGACTTTGAGTTCAGGTCATACCTGCTACCTCGACCCCCTTAACCTCTGTGGGGGAAGGGAAGATTTTGGTTTCCCCCAGTCACTGGGTGTCTCTCCCTCTAGTCCTCCTCTCCTTCTATCTAGTCTGGGATAGGTTGAGTTAACTTTTAGTGAGTAATTTCTATTGTAATTCCACTGTAGTTGGGAATGCAGTGTAAAGGATACATGTTCTTTGGAATTTGCTGAGACCTGTTTTATCATCTAGTACATAGTCAAGTTTTGAAAATTCTCTGTGTTTCCTTCCTCCCTTGGGACTGAGAGAGTTTTCTTTATTCGTGTTTATCCTCTCCTAGTTTAGAAATTATACATTCTATTCTCATTCTTTTAGTGGTTGCACTTTTACTGTGTCATACAAACATGAAATAAAATATACAAATCTTTCCTATACAACTAGATGCCTTTTATATATGTATCCCCCCTTGTAATCACCATTTGGATTAAGATATAGAAAATCTCAGCATCTCAGAAGGCTCCCTCCTGCCTCATCTCAGTCAACACCCCTGCGATTCAGGTTAAGTATTATTCTGACCTTTAGCACAATAAATGAGTTTTGCCTGTTTTTTTAAAAAGTTTTATTGAGATGCATGCACAGACCATATAATTCAGCCACTTAAAGCATTCAGTTCAATGGTTTTCTTAATACAGTCACAAAGTTGTGAATTTTAAAATATTTTCACCCTACCCTTCCCCAGACCATAACAGTCACTACCCATTTCTTTCTAGCTCCCTATTCCAGCCTTGGCTAGAGTTAATCTACTTTCTGTCTCTATAGATTTGCTTGTTCTGGGAATTTCATATAAATGGAATCATACAATACATGGTCTTTGTGTCTGGCTTCTTTCACTGAACCTGATGTTTTCAAAGTTTGTTCATGTTTAGGGTATATTAGTACTTCATCCCTTTTTGTGGTCAAATAATATTCCACCACATGTCTAGATCTCATTTGTGTATTTGTTTATCAGTTGAGGGACTTTTGGATTGCTTCCACTTTTTGGCTGTTAAGAATAATGCTGCTGTCAACCTTCGCATACATGTTTGCCTGTTTCTGAATTTTATATAAGTGGAACTATCCAGCATCTACTTTTTTGGGCTGAGTTCCCTTATTCTGATATTATGCCTGTGAGAGTTATCCATTTTCTTTTGCTTTTGCATGTGTCTTTGGTTTATAACTTCTCATTGCTACATAATAATCTGTGAATAAACCACAATTTAAATATCATTCTACTCTTTATGGACATTTAGATTCGTCTTTGTTTTTGTCTATCACACCTAAAGTTGCTCTTGCCCCTACCCTTAATTTTAACATGACTTGACTGACCCAATCTACGATTGACCCCATTTACTGGGGGAGACTGGAGGCCAAAACTCAAGATGGAGCCCCTCCAGCTTAATACCACACAGCTGATACTGGGACAGACCTTTGCATTTTTATTAATACCACTTTCACAGGTCCTAACAGTACACATGACCCACCCCAGCGGGCCCCACGGCGCCCTCGACACCATCCCCTACCTTCCCGTGCTGTGTACTCGTTGTCCTCGATGACCCGTGCTAAGCCGAAGTCGGCGATCTTGCACACCAGGGACGCAGACACCAAGATGTTGGCAGCTCGAAGGTCTCGGTGGATGTAGTTCCTCCGCTCGATGAAGGCCATGCCTTCTGCGATCTCCACCCAAAACAGAGACACCCTTACCCTCAGATTTGGCCCAGCCCAAGGTGGGTCTCACCCAAAAGCAGAAGAGGGCTGTCCAAGTGTGAGAAAACTGGAAAACACATGTGCTGGCCTTCCCCCTTGTTTTGTGGGAGGGTCCCGGTCTCAGATTGGCATTTCTCTGTCTACCTAATCAGGTCAGGGGGATCCTCATAGCCTGGGCCAGTCTGGAGCTTCTCTAGGGTTCCAAGACTTCCAGAAAACACTTTAAGGAAAAAGCATTATTTCTCCCAGGACCTACACACACACACACACACACACACACACACACACACCAGGATACTTTGAAGGGCTTTCATCCCCAACCCCTTACTGGGAACAACCTAGGCTCACATCACATTTTGTTGTATCTCTTATGCCTGCTTCACTTCCCAAGCCTGGGTAGGGAAAATTCCTTTATTCATTCAACAAACATCTACTGAGTGTCTTGTGGGCACCAGACATGTTACTTGGACAGGTGGGGAGCCAGGCAAAGCCCCCACATGTGGTGATAAGCGCCATAAAGAAGGGGGAAAGCAGGCACTAGGACATGAAGTGTAGAGGGCTGTTTTGGATTGGATAGTCAGGAGGTGAAACTTCAGCAAATGCTCTGTCAAATAAGAGCATTCTTGGTAGAAAACATCATGTGCAAAGGCCCGGAGGTAGGAAGGAGCTTAGGTATTCATGGAACAGGTGGTTGAGCAGAAGTTGCCCAGGGGAAAGTGGGGAGGAGAGCGGCGGTTGTGGGGGAGGCTGTTGACGGGGAAGAACCTTGTAGGTTAGGAGAGGCGGTTGGGTTGTATTCTGAGCATGAAGGGAAGTGAGAAGTCTTGGAGCAGGACGGTGACATGGTCTGATGTATATTTTAATGTCACCAGGGCTTCTGAGTGCATAATGGACTGCATGGAGGGTTCTTACTCACAATGGGACCTGGGAAGCCCGATGGAAAGATGTGGGATTTTCTGTAAAGACTTTTTCCTCTTACAAGAGTTTGTGCATTACCCCTCATAAAGAGGTTTATGATTAACCCTCAGAAACTCAGAAAATAGCATTTATAGTGCATAAACTGGTCTTTGATGTCCTTGAGCCAGGTGTTACCGCCGTCTCTGGTGTACAGAGGAGGGACACCTTTGTCAGATCACACCCCCAGAATTTGAATTTCCACCCATAGGGCCTCCATGCTGCCTTTAATCACCCAGAACTCCAACGCTTTGGAGGACTGCAGCTGGCTGCAATCTGGTGAGATTATTTGGGGAGGTAGGGTGTCTGGCCAGACTAAACCAAGGTCTGAGGCAAGTGGATGGTACGCTTGTGGAAAGTGGCCAGCAGGGGGCACCCATGGCCACTGGAACCGAGGTCTGAGTCTCCAGCCTTTTCTAACCAAACCAGGAGACTTTCTGATTTTGCTTGTCATCGCCCGCCAGGAGTGGGTGAGGCAGTCTTGGCCTCATGGGTGTGGAAAATTTATAAGGAGTTCAGACGAACAGTTAACAACAGCTATAACATTAACTGTGGACGTTGTAGCTTATTCATTAATCATAATATGATATTTAATACTTAAATGGCATTTGCTCTCTGCTTTGGGGTAGGGACTATTGCTTTCAGCACTATTATTTCACAGGTAAGAAAACTGAATCCCAGAGAAGTAACTACTTGGTCCAAGTGGAGACCGGGACTGGAAATCTGACAGCCCTGCTTAGGGCCTGTGTCCATTACCCTACCTGAATTTTTGGCACAGAGCAGGCACTAACACTGGAAGTTAGCATTTTTCAGTACTCAGGGGCAGATATCATGTTATGGATTTGTACAGGAGCACATAAGCTCAAGGTGGCAAGTGGGACTAACCCCACTTAGAAGACAGCAGATGAGAATGCCTAGGTGACTCCCGGGTTGGGCCAGCTCAACTTGAGCCCCACATGTCTGTGATCTCCAAGTAAACTACTTTACCCCTCTGTGCCTCACTTTTCTTCTCTGTAGAATGAGACAATAGAATCTTCTTCTGAGGGTTCGTGTGAGGATTCATACTCTAAATCTACATCAAGTGTATAGAACAGAGTCTGGCATATAAGTATTCAACAGTCCCTGTTGAGGAAAGCAGCCCTCAGAAAGGTTAAGCTATTTGCTCAAAACTACACAGGCAGCCCTGGGCTCAACAGTAAAACTCTATATATAGATTCCTAAGTCCGTGTGTATACAGTGTTGCTTCTCAAGGGCTTGTGAACTGAACGAATAGTGGATAGGTTGGCTGGGTTCAGGGTTGGTCTAAATTGGGAGTTGATGAGGTGGTGAGATTTCATGACCACCAGATGGTCTGCCGTGATGTCAGTCATTGGCACATGGGTTTGCTTCTGAGAGAGTACCAGGGAATCACAGAATCAGCTGGAAGGGTCTGTAGGGGTATTCCAGCTCAGGGCTCTTCACACTGAATCTAACTGAGGGACAAAAGAAAGGTCACCCCTTCAATCACAGCAGCTCTGTTTTAATCTATTTTAAAGTGATCAGCTGCTCCGTAAGATTCATTTGACCAACACAGTTATAGCTAAAAAAAAAAAAAAAGTCTTTCAAACTTGAAAAGCACAAAGATGGTCCAGTTCCTTCATTTGACAAATGGAGGGACCAAGAGACCCAGAGTGGATTTAAGGTTACACAGCCAGGTGGTGACGAGGCAGTCTCTGCTGGGCCCACCCACCTCTCTAGGAGCGGAGGTGAAGACCAGACCCCAGGCTGGCTCCTTTCTGTCCCTGGGCTCTGAGTCCACCTCTGCTCCTAGGTGCACAAGGGCCTGGCACCTCTTTCCCTCCTGTGGTTTCTGTCTTCCCCGTTTGTACCATAGGGAGAATTGTTCTTGCCCTGGTCCATGACCCTCCTCCCAGCAAGGTTTCTGCCAGTGTGACGGCTACAATTTAGCAACAGGGCAGACTCCTGCTTCCCCAGGAGGTAGGGCTTATTGAAGAGAAAATGCCTCTTCTGGATTTCCATATGCCTCTGGTACTGGAAGACTCTGACAGGCAAAGCCTTTTATCATGCCCTTCCCAGGATTTGCATAGTCAAATGAGCTCTGCCTTAGGGTCTCCTGAAGGCCCCGCCCTGGGCCCAGGTGCCCCCTCCCTTAATACCTTCCAGGCTGCAAGCCACGCCCTCTTCATTTTTGCCAGGCTCAGGCGCTAACAGACCAGGCTGAGCTCTGGTTTTGCCCTTTGGACTTTGGCACAGACTGCTTCTTCTGCCTAGAATACCCTTACCTCTCCTCTTCACCTGCCCAACTTCTATTCAGGCCTCAGCCTAGTGACCGCTTCCTCTAGGAAGCCTTCTCTGATTGCTCCTGGACTGGGAGAAGTGCTCCAGTCGTGGGTTTCCACCGGTACCCATTTCCTCCTCTGTTTTCCCACAGACAGGAGAGAATGGTTGACAGAGGACGGAAGTGAAAAGCACTCAGGCTGGGGGTGAGAAGAGCTCTATAAAGTGAAGGGAAGATGAGAAAGAAAATGGAGGTTTAAGAAGTGTTTCTGTGATTTCTGGACATTAATAATTTTGCTGGATACTGCATTCTTTTGACACTGAGCCAGGACTACTTGGGTCGTGGCTCTCTAAGAGATTCAGTTGTTTAATAAGTGTAAACCCTAGGGGGATAGCAGTACTTTCCATTTTGTTCACTGCCATATCCCCCCAAAGTAACACAGTCACGTAGGCAAGCTACTTCACCTCCCTGGGCCTCAGTTGCCTCATCTCCACTTCACTTCCTCTCTAAGCCTTAACTTCCTGTTCTGTAAAACGGGGTGACAATTACCTGCCTGTGGCCAGACTGTCACATCAGTGGTTCCCTGTGAACCACGCCTCCTGGGACTCACGCCTTTTTGCAGTCCCTCCTACACTGACTCTGGGCTAGGTCATGTGACTTGCTTTGACCAACAGGACATTAGCCTGCACAATGTGAATAAGAGCTCGCTCATGATGGCTTAGTCCCTTGGAAGACTCCCTCTTGGAACCTTTCTGCCATGATGTAAAAGAGTTCAGGTTAGGCTATTGAATGAGTGATGTGGAGTCACTGGAGACAGACCTAGAGGATGAGCCACTATCCCAGATATTCTAGCCCCAGGGAAGCTCTCAGCAGGATGCATCCTCAAGAGGGGGCTGGGTTTCACAGCGTGGAGCAGAAAAATCACCCAACCAATCCCAGTCAACCCCACATTGTTGTTTCAAGCTACTAAACTTTGGAGCAGTTGGTTACAAAGGAATAGACAACAAAAATCTCACCCTAGAAGGCTGATGTGAAGACCATATGAGATAGGACTTGTGTGCATGCTTAGTCACTTAGTGGTGTCTTGCAGCCCCAGGGACTGCAGCCCCCCAGGCTCTTCTGACCATGGGGATTCTCTAGGCAAGAATACTGGAGTGGGTTGCCATGCCCTCCTCCAGGGGATCTTCCCAACTCAGGGATCGAACCCAGGTCTACCCACTTTGCTGGCGGATTCTTTACCTTCTGAGCCGCCAAGGAAGCCCAAGAATACTGGAGTGGGTAGCCTATCCCTTCTCCAGGGTATCTTCCTGACCCAGGAATCAAACTGGGGTCTCCTGCATTGCAGGTGGACTCTTTACCAGCTGAGCTACCAGGAAAGCCCCAAGTTGGGTCATAGAAGGCACAGTTAAAAAGAATACTTTTATCCTGAGCACTCAATACGTGTTAGCTATTATTTTTGTTGTTATGATAGCATGTAATCAATAAACATGTGTTGAATAAATAATTGACTTCCCCTTCCCCGACTTCCCCATTAGACTCTCACCTGGGCTGAGAAGTCGATGAGTTTGGGCAGTGGCTGCCTGCTACCTTCTTCACTTTTCAGGAAGTCCAGCAGGCTGCCTGTGTGGGGGTAGGGGGAACAACATTTACTACTCTCATGACTTTAACAAGTGGTTAACATGATTCATAGTAATGGATTTACATAAAAGTATCTATTTACTGTTCCTAGCATATGAGAAAGAGAATCTGAGCATTTTGAGAATGACTTTGTGCTTGCCAGACTGGTTGTTTGATTGAGACAGCTTTCTGAGCCTGGGGGACTGGGGCCATGGTTTTATAAGGCTGGCATAATTGTGTTTAGAAAATGATAAAAGCTTTGAGATGTCAAATCCTTCTAAATGGATGTCATCTGAGACGTTTCTGTATGTTGAGAAATGGGCCGGAATTGAACATTATTGAGAAATGATGGCCTAAAAAAATATCCCTGATACATCCTGGACTGTGTGCAGGAGCAGCCTGGAAAGGATGCTTAGCCAGTGCATAAGGAATGCTTTGCTGAGTCTCCTGGAGCATTGGTCCACCCAGGGAAGATGGCTGGTTGTCGGGGGGGGGGTGTGGGGGGGTCCAGGGAGTCTCCCCAGCCTCAAGGGCTCATGGTGAACCCATAGAAGGCTCTTCTCCTATCACCCAGAGGGGTTCTGGCCCCACCCCCTCTCCCAGAGGTCCATGTGCTCCCCTTCTCCTGGCATCCCCCTAACATGATTTCACTCCCCTTAACCAGGAGAGTGGGGCAGTCAGATATGAAGGTGCTCAGTGAATTTATGTCAAAAGAGTTCCTGGCCAGACTGGGGGCATCTTGAAGGCCAAAGAACCATGTCAGAGTCACCTCTGACTCTGCAGGTGACCAGAAGAGGCATAATTGGTACCCCAGGTCCCAGCGCGCAGCACCTTTGGCCATGAACTCCGTGATGATGTAGATGGGCTCCTCTGTGACCACAGCATGCAGCTTCACCAGCTTGTCATGCTGCAGAGTCTTCATCAGGTTGGCTTCTGCCAGGAAGGACTCCACGGACATGCTCCCGGGCTTCATCGTCTTCACGGCCACCTTGGTGTGCTTGTTGTAGGTGGCTGCAGCAGGACAGGAAGCAGAAAAGGCGGTCAGGGCCCACTGCTCTTTCCTCACAGGCCCCAAAGACCTGGCTGCAGACTTGCCTCCTCCAGAGAGCCTTTCCTGCCCACCTCAGCCCTTAGAGAAGGAAGGGGAGACACAAGCTTTGCCCTCAGATAGATGTGGGTTGGAAGGCCGGTCTACCACTTCCAGCTAGGAAGTGTGTACTTGGGCAGGTCACTTAACCTCTCTGAACTATGGTTTCCTCATCTGCAAAGGCTCCTGCAGGGGTTCAGGGATTAAAACATCACTCTGATTATGTCACTCACTCACACACCTACCTTTGTTTTGTCACACATTCACATACACATCGTCTTTGCTTTAAATGTTTATTTAATCTTAACACTGCTCTCAAAATAAATATGTTTCATCATGGTCCACAAGGCCCTGCATAAACTGGCCTTGCTCACTTAGCCTTGTCATCCACCAACACCTCTACCCCTTGCCTTTTGTGCACCAACCCACCTGCATATCATTCAGTCCCTCGAGCAGCCATCTCCCCCCCCACCACAGGGACTTTGCTCATGCTGTTCCCTCACTTCACCCCACCCCGTCCCTGCTTTATCTTGTAATCTTCATCTTCTTGTAAATCTCAGTGTTGCTCATGTTTCCATTTTTGCCTTGGCTGCCAGGAAGCTCTAATGCAGAGTTGAGGTCTTCCTATAGTAAGAGCCAGAGAAGGCAATGGCACCCCACTCCAGTACTCTTGCCTGGAAAATCCCATGGACGGAGGAGCCTGGTAGGCTGCAGTCCATGGAGTCGCAAAGAGTCAGACATGACTGAGCGACTTCACTTTCGGTTTTCACTTTTATGCATTGGAGAAGGAAATGGCAACCCACTTCAGTGTTCTTGCCTGGAGAATCCCAGGGATGGGGTCGCACAGAGTCAGACACGACTGAAGTGACTTAGCAGTAGCACTAGCAGTATAGTAAGAGCCTAAGGCCTTACATAATATGTGTGTGTGTGTGTGTGTGTGTGTGTGTGTGTATTTGTTTTCTAACTCCATCAGTCTGATCTGTCTTACCTTCCTCACCGTACTTTCTCTGCCACCTTTTCTTCTTCAGTGCCTGACACATAGCAGGCTCTCAATATATATAATTGAAGTGAGTAGATTTTAAACTTGTTTTTTTCTGGCTGAATTGTTTGCATCTCTGTAAGCTGTCTTCACTCCCATTTGGAACATAGTGAAGTATAAACACAGTGTGGGGCACCAGGCACTGGGCCAGGCATCACGTCTACCCCCACAGTTCTGCAGAGCAGGCTTTGCTATTCTTAAATCATTAGAGGCAGCCCAGCAGGGGTGGCATATGTCTTTTTGAAGCCCTACAATGCCCTAGCATGATGCTGGGCACACGGCAGGGTCTTAGAACAGCGTGTTCATCAGCTGCCAACGTTGAACTCACCTGGAAATCTCCAAGCTACACTTTCCCATTCTTAATTCTCATCATTCTAAGAGATGCTCTGGTTCTCAACCCCAGACTGTCCCAGCTCCATATGAGGAAGCAGATTCCTCATCTAGGACTCCCGCTTCTTAGAAGAAAGTTTTTGACCCAACAGGCCTGACCTCAAAGATTTGCATGGCAGTGTTTGCATGGCAGGACTATTTGCTTTGCTATCAGAGGAATCACTCCTTTACGGTTATTATTCAAATCTCCCCTCTGCCCCGGGTGGCATTCCCACTTGGCCTCGGGCTGTTCCTGGAAGCAAGGACCTCCCTCTCCCCCATCTCCCCTCCTGGCTTTGGCCCTGGGTCCTTACCCATCCAGACTTCCCCAAACTGCCCAGCTCCAAGTTTCTTCTCCATCTTGAGGGACTCCCGGGGGATCTCCCAGGCGTCTTTCTCCCAAGGTTTCTGGGGCTTGGAGGACACGCAGGGCACTGTCAGCTTCTGGCAGAGTCCGTCGCTCCCCTCTGGAACAGAACCCCCTGGTCAGCTGAGGGCAGGCAGCCCCAAGCCAGCCTCAGGCTTCCCCTCCAGGCCTCCCCTCCTGGTCCACTGCATCTGGCCCCGGTTCCCAAGGGCCGCTCCATCGAAGATATTCCCAGGAGAACAGAGCATGGTGAGATGGCATCTCTGCCCTCCCGCTCAACAGACCAAAGACTTCAGGAGAATCCAAAGCAACTGTTTGTCTGGGGGAGGGTGAGGAAAACCTTAGCAGGTCTCAGAGGCAGCAGCGCCCCCTTGACTAGCATTCCCAGGAGAGGGGCCCACCCAGCTGGGCCCCTGGAAGGGAGGCAGCCCCACAGGACTCACTCTTATAGTGGGCCACCAGTTCCTGCAGGCTGCCGAAGGTGCTCCGGGGTGAGATGTAGAAACCCCCATTGTCCAGCGTGCGGATCTTGTAATGTTTCACTGTGTCCCTGTGCTGTGGGTCGTAGTCTCGCACGGACAAAGAGTAGCTCCCTGCATGGGCCAGAGAGAAACCACCCGGTGTCAGCACCCTGACTGCCTGTGAGGCTGCTGCGGGCACCGTCTTGACATCCGCGCAGTGGAGCAGAGGGTAGGAGTGGGCAGTGGAGTCAGGCTGCCTGGGTGCTTGTCAGGCTGTTCCATGTCCTGCTGTGAGACCTTGGACACGTGACCAAGTCACCTCTCTATGCCTCAGTTTCCTTATCTGTAGAATGGGATTGGTCATCATATCTCCTCCCCTCAACACATTGCCTGGTGGTAAAAGAAGGAATGCTTGTACTCAGGATGTAAAAGCTCAGTAATGTTGGCTGTCATTGAGTTCATTATTATTTCTTTTTCTTCCTATTATCTATCTATTTTTCACAAAAACCAAGACACCACACCAGTTAGGTAAAAAGCGAGACTGTTTAGCACTATTTACAACAGCTAGGACGACAGCAACCTAGATGTCCATCGGCAGATGAATGGATAAGGAAGTTGTGGTATATATACACAGTGGACCATTACTCAGCTATAAAAAGGAATGCATTTGAGTCAGTTCTAATGAGGTGGATCGGGAGCCTATTATACAGACTGAAGTAAGTCAGAAAGAGAAAGACAAATACTATATATTAACACATATATATGGAATTTAGAAAAATGGTACTGATGATCCTAAATTCAGGGCAGCAAAGGAGACACAGATTTAAAGAACAGACTTTAGAACTCAGTGGGAGAAGGTGAGGGTGGGATGATTTGAGAGACTAGCATGGCAGCATGTACATTACCATATGTAAAACAGTTGACCAGTGCAAGTTCAATGCATGAAGTAGGGCACCCAAAGCCAGTGCCCTGGGACAACCCAGAGGAAAAGGGTGGGGAGAGAGGTGGGAGGGGGGTTCAGGATGTGGGGGACACATGCGTACCTGTGGCTGATTCATGTTGATGTATGGCAAAAACCATAGCAGTATTGTAAAGTAATTATCCTCCAATCAAAATAAATTAGTTAATTTAAAAAATAAAAATAGATGATTTTATAGTGAAAGCAGTACAGGTATATCCATAGGTTATTTAAATACAAATAAACATTAATTCTGAAAATAAAAGGCTGTTTAGAAGCAAACAAGCAAAAAGATTAAACAAACAAACCAATCCAGTTCAACTATTAAAATATAAACAATGAAATGTAAGTGTCCATATTAAATGTTGTGGCAGGCTGAGTCATGGCCCCCACAATGCCATGTCCTAATCCCTGACACCTGTGCGTGCATCACCTCACGTGGTAAAGGGATTCTGCAGATGTGATTCAGTTAAGGAGCTGGCAATGGAGAAGTATCCTGGATTCACATAGACAAGAAACACATACTTCTTTCAGTCCATGGCCATGGTTCTGCTGTTTGTGAGCTGTGCGTCCTTGGGCAAGTTATTAGCTTCTCCCTCTCTTAGTTTTCTCCACCACAATAGCACCATGTCATAGGATTTGGGGGAGGTTTAAATTGTTGCATGAATTACAGTGTGACCATACATGCTGGGGCTTCCCTGGTGCCTCAGATGGTAAAGAATCTGCCTGCAATGGAGGAGACCCAAGTTTCATCCCTGTGTTGGGAAGATCTCCTGGAGAAGAGAATGGCTACCCACTCCAGTATTCCTGCCTGGAGAATTCCATGGACAGAGGAGCCTGGATGGGGTACAGTCCATGGGTCAGAAAGAGTTGGACACGACTGATCAATTTTCATGCATGCTAGGCTGCGCTGTGCTTAGTTGCTCAGTCATGTGCAACTCTTTGTGAACCCATGGACTGTAGCCCACCAGGCTCCTCTGTTCATGGGGATTCTCCAGGCAAGAACACTGGAGAGGGTGCCATGCCCTCCTCCAGGGAATCTTCCTGACCCAGAGATCGAACCCAGGACTCCCACATTGCAGGCGGATTCTTTAATATCTGTTGTTTGGTTGCTCAGTCATGTCCAACTCTTTGCAACCCCATGAACTGCAGCATGCCAGGCTTCCGTCCTTCACTATCTCCTGGAGTTTGCTCAAACTCATGTCCATTGAGTCAATGATGCCATCCAACTATCTCATCCTCTGTCACCCCCTTCTCCTCCTGCCCTCAGTCTTTCCCAGCATCAGGATCTTTACAAATGAGTCGGCTCTTGACAATGAATGAATAGGAATAATAAATAATAAGCAATGAATGGATAGAAATAATATTCATTATAATGGACTATAGTTATATGCATTATAATAAGCTATATTATTCATTACAGTGAATGAATAACCCCACAAGGTAGAGGTTTTGTATCACCACAAGTTTTACATAAAGAGACTGAGGTCCAGGGAGATGAAGTACCTAACCTGCAGTCACACAGCCTGTAAGTAGCAGAGCTAGGCTTCAAACCGAGGCAGCTGGAACCACATTCTTAACCACTCTGCCCAGTCAAGGGGAGGCTGACTTGGCTGATGCTGAGTGGGGAAGGGTGGAACCCAGGAAGCAGCAGGATGGGACTCAGGGCACTTGTACTATAAGTTTAGTATCTCAGTGAACCCACTTTTGCCCCGTCTGAGGGCTGTGGTAGTGGCCAGGCTCACCTTCCTGCCGGTGTGTGCAGGATAGCCCGGAGGGAGGAGAGAAACCAAGGGCTGTGTACGGCTTTATCTTTTTGTACCATTTCTTTTCCTCTGGAGGCTGGTAGGGAGTTTGTTGGGTGGAAGGAAATAAACCCCAAACATTCCCTGACCTGAAACACAGATGGTGAGTGCTGTTTTAGCCACATTCAGGCTTCCCCATTTCAGAAAAGAGGGCAAGTAGAAGGGCCCCGAACTGATTGTCCAGGGTACTGTGAGGTCACGTTTTATACAATTTACTGGTTTCTCTGAACCAAGCAGTTTTGAATCTAAACACAGTAGTAAAGGCACACACTGTGTGTGAAATCTGAAATCACAGGACACCTACCTACAATCATCCCATTGGCAAAACTGGCCCTAGTCGATGCCAGTTTGAGTTATTTGTTGTTTGGGGCGCTGCTCTTGCCTCCTGTGTGATGACTGGGCACAAAGCCACCCTCACGGCACGGAAGTTTCAGGAAGCAGGTCACCGACATCAAAACATCCAAATACCTCAAAAGAGTTATTTGAAACAGGGTCCCAGACAAGGCTGGCTGGGGGGCTCTTGCTACAGCCCGAGCCCATCTCATTTCCTTATGGAAGGAGAGAGGAGTCAGGCTTGTGGGCAAGATACATTCTGATGGGTATTTAAAAGAATCCAAGCTAATGAAGATCAAGTTCAGCAAGTGGTTGTTCTTCAGGGCAGTAACCACTGCATCTTACTTCCACTGACCTAAGTTGGCAGGTCTGGGGGCTGAGAAGGTTTGAACAAAGAGCAGAAGGAAGCCTGGCAGCCCGGGGAGGGGGCTGGGTGAGTTGTTCAGACAACGGCATACCCCAAGGGAAGGATGGTGTCCGGTCACGTCTGGGGCTCCCCTGTGTGGTGGGGTGGAAACACAGGGCTAGGAGGACCAGCCTCACCTTTGGTGGTCTCGCTGTCCCGGATCATGAAGGAGCCCAGCACGTTGCCAGGGGCCAGGAGCTGGCGCTCTGCATCTTTTCGGCTGATGCCCTTGAAGAACCACCTGGAGGGAGGGGAGGGGGCAGTGTGTAAGCCCGTGGCGGGCAGTGCTGTCCGACTCTCAGCAATCTCGCCTGGCATCAGGACTCCAAGGGCCTGCATTCCTCTGGTGTCAGTTTTACTCAAAGATTCTTTGGGGGGGGGAAGCAATCATTCTTTTGATATTAAAACAGACACTTTACCACAGGTGAATCCAGTTTGCTAAGGCTGAAGCATGCAATTTGGGGAGCTTATTTTTGGCGGGCTGGGGGAGCTTTCTTTAAGAAAAATAATACAGCATTATAAATATTAATACAAAATGTTGCTGGTTATTCCAGTGCCACCCAATGCGAGGTATAAGGTGATGAGCAAAAAGACTGGGTGGAAAAATACAGCAGTCTTAACCAACTGTGGTCAAAAATCTTCCTTTTGCAGATTTCTCTAGAACATTTGATCAACCTCTCAGGATCTTAGAGGCCCATGTGAGTGAGGGCTGAGCACTGTCACCATCACAGTTCATCTTCCTGTGTAGATACAGAGTTGAATATGACATCAGCATGAATTTCTAAGCTCAAATGTGAGATTTCAAATAATTTTATACTTGGGACCACATCCTTGCACCTTTCTTCATCCTCCTTGACTATTTGGGATCTTTAGATTCCCCAAAAAATCTAAGGAAAACTTTAAGCAGCAGAAACCAAATTTATTCCCTGAGGAGTGGTTCATGCGCTGTGATGGAAAAAGCCCCAGACCAGAGGTCAGCTGGCCTTGACCCTGCCACAAACCTATGTGTGACTTGGAGTACATTGCTTTTCTTCTCTGGACTTCTGTTTCCTCTGCTATCAACTGGGGAAAGAGGTAGTTACCATTTATCAAGCTCTTGTTATCCACCCAACTCTATGGAATCTTTGCCTTTATTATCCCCATTTTACAGATGAGGAAGCTGAGAAACAGAAAGAGCAAGTAACTTGCCTGGCATCACACAGCTAGTAAGTGGTGGAGGCAGGATTCAAAGTCAGGCAGTCTAACTCCAGAGCCAAAGATCTTAAACACCATGCAACACCCCTGCCTTCCTTGCTTTCATTTGATAAAGTGATTCAAGCCATGATAAAATGTTCAAGCAATGTTAAAGGGTACACAGGAAGAGCTGTCTCCCTGGCAATCCCACCCTTAGGAAGTTATCCCACCGATTTTGCACAGGAAGAAATGACATATACACAAGGAGACTCAAGGCAGCGTGAGACTGGAAACAGTGACCACTGATGAGGGATGCTGGGGCATCTACATGACAGACACAGCAACTGTGAAAAGGAGGCACTGTCGGCACTGCCTTGAAGATCTGAACAAAGGGGGTGGAAGAATACAGCATAGAAGCTGCCACTTGTGTAAGACGGAGAGAGACAATATTCTTTGCAGCATTGTTCACAATAGCCAAGACACAGAAACAGCCTCGATGTCCATCAGTAGATGAATGGATGAAGAAGTTGTGGCACTTATATCCAATGAAACATTGTTGTTACTGGTTAGTCATGAAGTTGTGTCTGACTCTTTTGTGACCCCACAGACTGTAGCCCACCAGGCTCCTCTGCCCATGGCATTTCTCAGGCAAGAATACTAGAGTGGGAAGTTATTTCCTTCTCCAGGGGATTTTCCCAACCCAGGGGTCAAACCTGTATCTCCTGCATTACAGGTGGATTCTTTACCGCTGAGCTACCACAGACATGATAGTGGAATATTAGCCATAAGATAGAATAAAACAATGCCATTTGCAGCAACATGGACGAACCTAGAGATTCTTATACTAAGTCAGGAAGGGAAAGACAAATATCGAATGATATTCACTTACATGTGGAATCTAAAAAAATGATGCAAGTGAACTTACGAAACAAATAGTGTCACAGATATAGAAAACAAACATGGTTACCAGGGGGAAAGGGGAGAAGAGGGATAAATTGGGAGACTGAGATTGACATATACATACTGCTATATATAAAATAGATAACCAATAGGGACCTATAGCACAGGGAGCTATATTTAATATTTATAATGACCTCTATGGGAAAAGAGTCTAAAAAAGAGTGGATTTATCTATATGTATAATGGATTCACTTTCCTGTACAGTTGAAACTAACACAACATTCTAAATCAGCTGTACTCTGATTTTTTAAAAAATTGGAGGAAGATATATGTAGTTTCTTAATCAAGTATAAAGCATTTGGGAGGACTTACAGGAAACTGGTTGCTTCTGGAAGGGAAGTAGCTGGCTGGGGATGGAGTGGGGGGAAGACGATTCACTCTTTAGTCTGTCCTTCTGTACCATTTGCATTTTGAAACATTTGAAAATACTCTCTATTTCAAGGCAGATGAGGAAGTAAGGTTCCATCCCACGCTGATTTCCAGGCCCCAGCTGCTCTCTTCAGAGGCAGCCTCTGTGAGCAGTCTCTTGATGGGGACACAAGAGCCCGGGAGTGCAAGACTCATATGGGTATTCAGGTCAGTGGTTCTCAAGGTGGGTCCCTGGACCAGCAGCATCCACCTCACCTGAGAACTTGTTAGAAATGCCAGTTATGAATTGGACAGTCAAGGAGTGGGGCTCAGAAACCAGTGTTTTAACTAACCCTCTAGGTGATGCTGATGCACTCAAGGCTGAGAACCAGCCATTAAGTTATGGGCCAAATGATAACCCACCATGTCTGTCCTCTGCGCCTGGCCTTTTCCACTCAGCAGTTATATTGCTTTAAGGAGTAATACCAGCCATGCCTGCTTCAAGGCTGCTGCAAGGTGAGGAATGGTGCAGAAGTCTCTAAGTGTTCAGAGCCTGGAGCAGGGGGGCAGAGCACCGATGCCCCGGGAGAAAGCCTAGAAGGACAGAGAAGCAGCCACCCCACCCCCCGCAGCATGTAGGGTACGTGCTGGGGGCATTCCAGGACAGAGGGTCAGGGCTGGGAGTGAGGGCTTCCTCACGGCCACAGAGGGGAGATTTCACAGGGCGAAGAGGTTTTCTGTGCACTAAGAAAGGGGTGACTTTAAGATAGGAAAAGCCCGTTTTAACAGGTAAGCATCCGAAACCCTCAACACCATCTAGCCAGAGGTAGGAGGCAAAGGAGATAAAACCATGGTGACCGTCAGATTTTGACTTTTTGATTGGCTGATTCTGAATTGCATCTATTGCCGCCTGATAGTGTGGCCATCTTCTTACTTGTCAGGGTCACCCCCCACACTGTGAATATCTCCAGGGAGGAAGCCTGCCTGAGTCACCTAGTATTCCTGGAATAGAGCTGGGAGTTCAGTGGATGCTCAAGGGTCTGTGGGATGATTGGGTGGATAGATGGATGGAAGGATGAAGTACAACTGTCTGTTTTCTGAGTCAAGGTAGACACAAACAGCCCGCAGTAAAGAATGAGGGGTTACAGCGATCTTGAGGGTGGAGGATGTCTCATTGGCTCTGTGGCCTCCAGTTGGCACAGGGCTCAGTGAGGAGCAGGAACAGGCGGGCTGAACGAGTCATGTGAGGGGTGTGGGCTGGCTCGCCTCTCAGAGGACCCTCCTTGGCACAACTGTTATACTTCATCCAACAAATATGCATTGAGCACAAACTGCATGCCAGCCTGTGTGAAGGCTGCAGGATGCAGCAGAGGACAGACCATGTCCCTACCCTCCTGTGCGCCCATTCTAGTGGGGGGAGGCAGACAGTGAACTGGGGACAACCAAAGAAACAAGATTGTTTTTGCTAGTGAGAAGTGTTCAGGAGAAGAAAAGCAGGGAGTCACACAGAGTCACAGCGGGGACCTGCTTGAGACTAAGTGGCCAGGGAAGGCCTCTCTGAGACCCAAAGGATGAGAAGGAGCCAGACAGGCAAAGAGGTCCAGGAAGAGTGTGCCAGGCAGGGGAGACAGTGAATGCAAAGGCCCTGAGGTGGAAGCAAGGCCGGCTCAGCTCATGCTTGCTTCTGCAGGGCAGGGAGATGGAATACTCACTCCTCTGTCTCCAGAGAGTTGACACGGGCGACGTAGTTGCTTGGGATGTAGCCCTCTTTCCGGGTGGCCAGAGATCGCGCTCTCCACCACTCCCCAGACCTGGGGGGCAGAAGAGAGCAAAGGGGTCAACCCCTCAGCCGTGACCTAGAATACCCCCAACAACAGGAGGCGGGTAGGGTAAAGGGCAGGGCCACCACCGTCCCAGCCCCCAGCCTGCACCCCATGATGAAGGCAAATATCTTTACAACAACCCCGGGGCTGGAATCAAGCCCTGTCCCTACATTCACAGCCCACAGTCCTAGGTCTTTGGCCTTACTCTCATTCCCTGGACTTGTGGCCTTGACCTTACTAACTATATATTAGGCAGGGCCCTGTGCCCGTGGCAGACTCACAGTGGCTTGCTGGCCAGAGGGACTGGGCTCAGAAGTCTGACCAAGCATAAGCAGTCCCAGCACATATTAGACACTACATCTAGTGATGGTGAGGATTATAGGAGATTGGAGGTAGCAAACTCAGAGATCCACAGATCTGAATGCAAAGTCACCTCAACAGGGTCTGCTCTGTAGGTAAGCCTGCCACTTAATCATAGGAGTCCAAGGAAGGCTTCCCTAGGAAAGCACTGTCAGCTGTCCATCCTTGCCTGGATGTGCACCATTAGCAAGCACACAAACCCCTTTACTGTGGCTAAAACCCAGGTTAAAGGAAACCCTTCTTCCTTTTTTATGATCACATTCTCATCAGTCATTTATACTTCAGTATAATATAGCCCATCAGGTTCTCTACTGAAACACAAAAGGGAGCAAAATTGAGTGTTGGAGATAGCTATGTCTTAGGGGGTGTGGGATGGGGACTCACTCCTCCAGGACCACCATCTGGTCCCCCTTTTGGAAACTGAGGTCTTCATGGTGAATGGCATCATAATCATACAGGGCAACCACAATGATATCCTCAGAACCTGTTGGGAAGGGAGACACATGGGATGGTGAGGCTTTATCTGAGCACACCCACAGCCCTGGGTATTTCCCACCCCAACACCTGGCACCCAGCTCTGGACCCCTTGATGTGTCTGTTCATGATACAAGTAAGCATCTTGCCATAGTGCATTCTTGAGTTCAAAGCTAATGAAGTTATGGTCATGCTGTGAAATAGCGCTATAGAAACACAGTGGCCTGTACTAAGTACTTTGGGGGCAAATTAGGGGATTTTCAAGGGCAGTTTTGACTGTTTTGGATTTTTGCCTTAGGTTCTCACCAAGCACCTAACCTAATCCTCTACAATCACCAGACTCCACCGCACGTGCCTGCCAGTTACTTACCCTCTGTGGACCCTGGCGGGTTGCCAGTGCTACTGTCAGGCCACTGTGGGGAAGAAACGGGAGAAGAGAATGAATCCAACAGTGTGTGTGGAGACATGGAAGGTTTGTGTCAAAAAAGGATATCCCAGCCCCATGTGTCATGGGAGGAGGCCCAGAGAGGGCTGGGGAAGTACCCCAGGTAACACAGCACGTTAGGGGCACAGCTAGCACAAAGATGCAGAGCTCTAGGGTTGTAGGCTCTGCCTTAGACTTACTGGGGGACACTGACTTGTCCCTTCCCCTCAACATACAGTGAGGGGGGTTGGCCCAGATCAGAGTTTTCCAAGTCTGAAGAAATCCTAGGTCTACCAGCAGGCCCATGAATAAAGGCTCCACTACAGAAAACCTAAGTGTCCATCCAAGGGGGAATCGGCACTAAATTAAGGGAGCTGCTCCAAGCAGCTCTTATAGGAGGGAGGCCACTTCATTCCTGACACAGCGAGACCTCAAAGGTACATTGTTGAGTAAACAAAGCTAGTTCTTCAGAATGGTAAAAATGATACGCTGGAATAAAACACATACTCACAGAGCCTAAACAATTTCTGTGGACACATACTGTACAGCTGTGAGTAAATTCATGGAAGGAGGTTTGCAAGTTTCCCTGCTAAACTGACAACAGCTGTTACCTCTGGGCTGGGGTGTGGTATTTCTAGGGAGGAGGGCACTGGTCAGCAGACACTGTAGTTTTAACTGTAATTTGTGATTTTCATTTTCAAAGAGAATGAACTTGTGTGTCACACACGTAAGTAAATGCTAATTTAAAAAAACAAGTTTGGGAAACAGTAAGTATACCCTTTTTGGGGAGATGTATAAAGCCCATTACAAAGATTCATAAAGGTTCTGGGAAGTCCTACAGAAAGCAGTGTGTGGCCCAGTGTTTTGCAAGCTGATTTGACCTGGAAATCCTTTCTCAATTATTACATTACTGCTAAATCAAAGTTCCGCATGAGCAGAGCAATGAATGGCTGATAATAATGTCCCTTAAACTTGATGTTCAGAGAGAACAGGCAAAAACTGGTGGGAGAAAGAAAACCTCTACTTCCCCCTGGGGACAAGTCAGGGGATCTCAGAGAACCTGAGACTCTGGAGCCCTGGCCACAGAAAGGGCCCCGGGGCACGCAAGTTAGGAGAGAAGCTGACCTGGGAGGGACTTAGGGTTTAGGATGTCACCTCAGGACATCACCAGTGTGGGAAGTTCTTGTAAACTCAGGCTGTATTAATGGAGGTCAAGTGTCAGAAGACGGGAGGTGGCCATTCCCCTCTTCTCCCGTTTCCAAAATTAGTCCTGTTCTAGGCATCATGCCTGGAGAAAGGCAAGCAAGTAAAGAGAGACCAGGAGCCCATGTTGTGTGAAAGATGATTTGGAAGGAAAGGGTGGTTTGGGATAAGATCTTTGCCTTCCATCTCTACAAGCTCTCACGGAGCAGAGGTAGTGGGTGTGTTTGGGGCAGGACTGAGGGGGGTGGTATAGGATCCAGGAGTAAGGGTTATGGGGTAATAGGTCTCCCTTCAACACGAGGGAGAACTTTCTAAGGAGCTCCAGGCAGAAGTGCACCCCTGCCTCTGGAGGCTGTGCTTGCCGGAAAAGCTTCAGATAAGGGGATGGACAGGACCCCAGAGGAGAGAGAACCCCAGCGTTGCATTTAGAACGACCCAGCTCTGCTGCCTCGCAGCACCATGAGCCTAGGGAGCCTTTTAACTTTGAGCCTCTGTCACCCTGGCTATAAGAAGCATTAACTCCAGCCTCACGGCTTTTGGTGAGAATTAATGATACAGAAACAGCTCACTCCAGTGCCCAGACCATAGGAGATTTTTCAAAGAACAATAATGCTCATGACAACTGTTACTGCTGCTCTTAATAGCAGTAGCAGTACTGTCAGCCCCGTTACTAGTACTATTACTGTAACCACCATCACTATTGTTACTGCTCTTTGAACCACCACAACTACCATGACTAGTAGGGTGACTTCTGTGGCAACTACTGCCCCAGGGCCCCCACTAATGCCACATGACTACTGCTCCTGTCACTAGCAGTTGGCTCTGCCTCTGTTACTTTGTTCCTACCTCTGGGACACCGGAACATGTGCTGAGTTTGAATCCCTACTGACCATGTAGCCTTCAGCATGTCATTTAATGTCTGCATCTCATCTCTAAAATGGGTATAAAACAACTTGTGGCCCACAAGAGCACTATTGTGAGGATTAAAGGTGTTAATAACCGCCTTGCACTTAGGATGGTACTTGGTTCATCGTAAGCTCTGTATATAAGTGTAGCAGAAGTGAGCAGATACCTCTGCTAGTATTACCACTTCTCTCATCGACTCTGTGCTGTAGTTCCTACCTCCATTGCTATTATACTCCCACTAGTATTGTTGTTACTATTATTACTACCATTGTCGTTACAGTTATCGCCATGATACTGATGCTGTCATCATTACTGTCATTTCTTCAACTGCTGTTGTGACTAAGCTGCTCGCTCATTACCCTCAGCACTGATTCCTGGTACTGCCCAGGTGGGAAGGCCGGCCATACCCCCTGGGACGTGGTCACCCAGGCTGAGGGGCCAAGGCCTGGGCAGCGGAACAAGAAGCAGTGATGCCCTTGCCCCAGGTGCTCGGTGCTGGCGTATCCTGGGGAGTCAGGGCGCTGCTGGTGACCGGTCAGCTCCATTTCACCCCAAACTCACCCTGCTCACCCTTGGGAGAACAGGGAATTGTGAGAGCAGTTTGGGGCAGCATGGGGCAGCCCCGGATAGCCGCCGGTGTCCCCTTTCGTCCCCCACTCACCCGCTTGCCCGAGGACGTGGGATCCGGCACATACACGGGGTTGTGTGGGTTGGTGTTGGGCTCGGTTTTTGAGACCTTGCCTCCGTTCCGGAGGAACTTGGACTTCACGCACCCCATCCTGCGGTAGAGAGAAGGGAAATGAGACCAGCTTGCTCTGATTCCCACAAGGGGGAGTCTTTGATGCTGGGCTTGAGACACCCTGTTGCCAGGCTGGCTCCCCTCCCCGTGTCAGACCCCTACCTCACCCTCACCTAATGGAGCTCACTCTGCCCTTGTCATCTCTGGACTTCCCCATATCCACGTCTGCCACGCACCCACACAGAGCTGACAAGTTGCAAAGTCATGCTACCAAGGACCCCGGCGACAGGAAGTTTATTGAGAGAATAAATGGTGATGATCATTGAAATTCAACACACTCTGGGGTCAGAAAGCCTGAGCTGATGCTTGGTCCCTCCCCCCGCCCCCACACCAACTCCTCGCGTATCACTCCCCCTGCTCCCTAGTCTCAGTTCCTCATCAGCGAAATGGGGATAATAATGCAGCCTACTCTCAGGGTGCTGGGAGGATGAGAAAGTACGTGGGTGGGGAAATAGTCTAGAGTCAGGCTCCGAGCCAACAGTAAGACTATACTCTCATATATAATAAGTTAATATTTTATATTAAATGATAGAGACCAGGTCACATAATGTGGCTCAAACAATCAAGTCACTATCCCCTCATATCACTTTATAATTGCCTTGTAACAGCTTCCTTCCTCCCTCCCTCCCTCTTTTACTTCCTTCCCTTCTTTCTCTCATGGATTTATTTGATCATTCATTCGTTCATTCATTTACTGGGTAAACATTTACTGAGCACTTTTCTTTCTTTACATTTTTATTTATGTATTTGTTTTGGCCGCACCACATGGCATATGGGTTCTTAGTTCCCCAGTTAGAGATTGAACCCGTGCCCCCTGCAGTGGAGGCGTGGGATCAAACCCCTGGACTACCAGGGAATTCCCTACTGAGCACTTTGCTAAATCATGACTAAGACAAGCAAGTTCACACCCCTATTGGAGCTCACCCTGGAGATGGATGGGAGACACAGATAAAGAACAGGTAGCAAATAATTAACAGGATAAATTTACTTAGTGAAACGTGTGAGGATGCTCAAAGAGGATGCTGACAGGGAACAACCATGTGGGGCCTCTTTAGACAGGGTGGTTGGGGAAGGCCTTTCTCAGGAGGTGATGTTGGACCTGGGGCCCACCTGACACAAAGGAGTCAGTTATGTAACACTCTGAGGGAACAGTGTTCCCAGCAGGTGAGTGCAAACAGTGAGTGCAAAGGCCCTGAGGCTGGAATGTGCTTGAAGAGAATCAGGCACTGAAAGGAGGCCAGTGTGGCTAGAGATCACAGGCAGGAGGGAGCAGAGAGTATACCACGAGGCTGCCCCATCTTTACAGTGGTCAGGAATTCGGATGCATTCTAAGGCTGATGGGAAACCAGGAAAAGTTTCATGTAGAAGGATGACAGGAGTCAATCTACACTTTAAATAACCCTGTCAGCTGTTCCGCTGATCGGTGGAGTACCGCCTTTGGAGAATAGGTCAGAAGTCCAGGCTCGAGATGCTTGATGGTGGCCTGGCCTGGGGTGGTGGCTACTGAGGGGGTAAGGAACAGAAAGGGTCAGGAGACATTTTGGTATCCCTTGCATTATCAACTTAGATATTTTGGAGGTAGAGCTGATGGACTTTGCTGATGGATTTATAAAATTTAAAGACACTTAAAGAAAACACGTTGATCTGATCAGAGTCAAAACTTCATCGTTAAAGTGGTAGAAACCTTTTATTCTTTTCTCAAAATGTGCCCGTGTTTGCTGAGAAGTCACATAAGGAAGTAATTGTTTTCCTCATCTCTGCACAATTGCAATTTTCTTCTAAAGCAGTTATACTTATCTTGTTAGAATGAACATGTGTTTGTGGCTTAAGGAAAAAACCCAAATTCCTAGGTTTATGGGAATTATTTACTTATTTTTTTTAAAGATTCTTTTCATTTACAAGGATGTTTTTGTCTGTCCTGGTGGGAGTTGGGAACAGTTTACCACCTTAAGACTTAAGCGGTTTCTGCTTCATTCTCCTTTTCTGAATAAAGTAAGGAACTGATCCAGACTCCTGGAGCGCTGGATCATTAATTTGAAAAATTATTGCAATTAATCACTGTTTTATAACGTACTCATATGAACTGAAAATGAAAACCAACACCTCTCTGGCTTGTGATAAATATGTATTACAGTTGTGGGAAATAAAACAGCTTATTGTGAGGTTTTGTATGACAGAAAATCATATTCCATTCCATATATTTTGATTAAGTTAAGGGTGATCTGGGAAGAGGATGGCTGTGGGAGGTAGGGCAGCTCCCTCCACCTCTCTGAGCATGTATTTGGTATTCCTTACATTGTCAACTTACATATTCAATGTGGCCACAGGGTCTTGAGGAGCAGGTCTCCTAACACATACACACATGATCCAGGGTGGTGGTGACAGAGTGAGTTGGAAGTCTGAAGGCGTCTGCCACACAGTAAGTTCTATAGAAGTGCTAATCATATCATTTCCATTTACTGGCAGATGTGGCCCTGCCCTGGGGGAACACTGTTTGCAAGTCCTTTGGCCCTCAAGTTTAGAGACAATACTTGAGAAGTTAATTTCTTAAAATAGGGAATTCCTGTTAGTTCAATTTTTGCACAATGAAGTATTTTTTTAAGTGGTATATGGGCAAGAGTCAAATTTGCATAAAATGTGATTTCCCCCTAAACCAAGAAAACCACTCCACTGCTTGGCTTGGAGTGGCCTCTGAAATGCTCATTTTCATGACCACTAGACACAGCAATATAATGTGAGCCATGTATATAATTTAAAATTTTCCACAGCCGTGTTTTTTCAAGTAAAAAGAAACAAGGGAATTAATTTTAAGATGTATTTACTTTTCCCAATATGTCAAAATTATTAATGTGATCAACATAAAATGATCAATGAGATACTTTATATATATATTTTTAATGTTGAGTCTTCATATCTCAGTGTGTGTTTTACATGTACAGCATATCTCAGCTAGGACTTGCCATGTTTCATGTGCTCAAGAGCTGTCTGTGAGGACTTCCCTTGTGGTCCAAGTCCACAGAGGCTAAGACATTGTGCTCCCAATGCACGGGGGCCTGGGTTGGAATCCTGGCCAGGGAACTGGATCCCACACGCCACAGCTGAAGATCCCCACATGCTACCACTAAGATCCTGCATGCTGCAACTAAGACCTGACCAAAGAAATAAATAAATATTAAAAAGAGAGAGCTATCTGTGGCTGAAGCTATCTACTCAGCAGTGCAGATATAGAACATTGCCATCACAGCAGCACCCCAGAGACGGGTCCTGCTCATGTCTGTGTGCCTTGGTGCTCAACTCAGCACCTTGCTGGCACACAGTAGGAGTGTCACATGGTCACATGTCACATGGTCAGTGAGTAAATGTGTGCCCAGAGCCCATGCTTTCTGGAGTCAGTTGAAGATAAAGGCATCTGGACCTGGCTCCTGGCTCCTGGCTCCTGCTCCTGCTGGGATGTAAAGACTAGATACACAAAATTACGTTCAAAATTATGTTCCCAAGGAGCTGTGAGGTATTGGCAAAGACAGTCAGAGCCATGCAAAGACTTCTAAAATACTTGTTGAGTGAGAAAAACAACCTGCAAGACATATATAATATCAAGCCATTTTGTGAATCTAATACATATCCAGGTTCTTTGGATATGTAACTTTGTTCATAGTAAAAACAACCTGTGTATAATAATTGAGCGGCAGGATAATGAATTGAATTTTGAAGAGAGGGAGGGATTTCAATAAAGATTTGGGGAAATCCAAGAATGTTTCATAGAAGCACTGTCTTTCAAAGAGAATTTGAGGGAGCTTATGATAATAAACCATGTACAGAGCACTTCAAGACTCAAAAAGGGTTCTGTTGCACCATTTGAAAGGAAAGATGATTGAATCAGAAGCCTGGGGTGCTACTGTTTCTGCCATTGGATACTAGATTTATCTCTGAGCTTCCTACTAGCCAAGATAAAACAGGAAATTGTACATTGTTAACATAAAACCTGGGAAGCATGGCAATTTACTGACAGAAACAAATTTTTTGAGCACTAAATTCAAAAGAGAATTATTATGTGGGTCCTCTTATAAAGGTTACCAAAGAACACAGGGGACAGTGATTTGACAGCTGAGTCTGCAATATGCTGACAAGTGAAAGTCGCTCACTTTGTCAATATGTTGACAAAATGAAAAAAAAAAAGTCCAGTCATGGACGACTCTTTGTGATCCCATGGACTATACAGTCCATGGAACTCTCCAGGCCAGAATACTGGAGTGGGTCGCCTTTCCCTTCTTCATAGGATCTTCCCAACCCAGGGATCGAACCCAGGTCCCCGGCATCGGAGGCAGATTCTCTACCAGCTGAGCCACAAGGGAAACCCCTATATGTTGACAAGTGGTTCCCAAATGGGCTTCCCTGATAGCTCAGTGAAGAATCCACCTGCAATGCAGGAGACCCCAGCTCAATTCCTGGGTCAGGAGGATCTGCTAGAGAAGGGATAGGCCACCCACTCCAGTATTCTTGGGCTTCCCTGGTGGCTCAGATGGTAAAGAATCTGCCTGGAATGTGAGAGACCTGGGTTCGATCCCTGGGTTGGGAAGATCACCTGGAGAAGGGAAAGGCTACCCACTCCAGTATTCTGGCCTGGAGAATTCCATGGACTATATAGTCCATGGGGTCGCAAAGAGTCAGACAGGACTGAGCAACTTTCACTTTTTCCCAAATAGGTGATGCTGGTGTTTGGCTGGGTTTTGGAACCATGGGATGGGGTGGGGAGAGGGCGAGGGAAGAAGTTTGTATAACCCAGGGCCTCTCTGCAGGGTGGAGACCACAGAGTGGCTCGAAGTGAGTTAGAAATGTAACAGAGTGCCTGGCTACTCAGAGCATGGCCAGCATGGAAACCAGCAGCATCAGGCCCCACCTCCCAAATCAGAACATACACTATGAGGCCCAGGTGATTTGTGTGATCATTCTAGTTGAGAATTGGGCACGATGAATATTTTT